GTCGATATGATATTCCCTATCCTGCCTTTCAGAAAAGAGTTTAAAAACAGACACATCACAAGACAGAACAAATTATAGCATATTTTTAATAAACCAGCACCTTGTCCTATTAAAATAACCATTGAATTATAACCATGTGAAATCAAGATCAACCAAAGCATAACAAAAAGCAGCGGCAGCAGTAAGACCAGTGCAAAGTGTGTGTATATCTATATATCTATATCTATATCTATAGATAGATAGATAGATAGATAGATAGATAGATAGATAGATAGATAGATAGATAGATAGATATAAACACCCTTTGCACTTTGCAATATATACTGTATTATCTTCTCCTGTCCAGCTGTTGTTGCCTGTTGGAAAAAAAAATGGTGGCTATTTATTTTACATAGCAAATTAAAATAAAAATAAACTTGCAAACATTCTTGGGATTAAGCTGAAAAATGCAAGCAATTTAAAAAAAATCTAGGGGTGATTTTTTAAAATCCGCCCCCCTCCACTACCAACTGTACTGCTGGGGGCTAGACTTCTGGGAACTGAAAAATAAAACTCTCTTGGGCTCCTTTTCTTCCAACAGGAAAGGCCTCCCCAGAATTTCAAGCAGTTAAACTCTTTTAATTGAATACAAAAGAGCTGATCAAGTCCTTGCAGCATCCTGAACTTCCGGCTTCCATCTTGAGGCCTCCATATGCAGGGCAACACAATGCATTCTTCCATTTTGGGGGGGGGGAGCTTCCTTATTTTTAGGCTTTAACGGCAGAGATAGGGAACCCGGGGCTTTCCAGCAGTGCTGACTGGGGCTGATAGGACTTGGAGTCCATTAACACCTTCAAGGCCCCGGATTGTCTTTGGCAAATTTACCTCCCTTCCTATGGCATGAACGCTCAGTGTCACCTTGTTACTGTTTCCATTCTTTTGTTCTTTATTTATTATTTCTTAAATTAATAGGCTGCCTTTCTCCCGACAAGGGGAATCAATATTTCAAGAAGGAAAAAATTACAATATTAAAATAAAAAAGTCCAAAAAAACATAATAAGTTAAACTTTTGAAAACAATTAAATTATGTGCCAATTAAAATGGAACTGAAGAATTAAAAGCAAGGGGGGCATTAAAATCTGTATTTGATGTTGAGAAACCAATCAGAGATTCAATCAAGACTGTTAAAAACCCATCTAATCTGTTCTCTCCACCAGAAAGCAGAGTATGATCAAAACAGTTCCCTGCCCCGTCCAGCTTACATTCCTGTATCTGGAGTCAGAAAGAATCTGGATCCCATCCATGGGCACTTAATGCTTATTTTATTCATCTATTATGTTTGGATAAGTCTTCCCCCCCCCCCAAAAAAAATCTCTCTTTTCAACTTCATTTCTCTCCAAGCCTACTCAGGAGTAGGCGCTCCTCTTGTCGGAATAGGATCGAGGCTTGAATAAAAGCCACACCGGAAATGCAGCTTCCTCTGCTAAACTCTTAATTCCTTCCCCAGTTTAAGGGGGGTGGGTGGGAAATAAAAGAAAACGAAATTAATGGGTTCAGGAAGAGACAAAACGGATCCAATCGTGGCTTATATTGCAAAAGAAAGGATTGCATTAAATTGCAAAATAAAATAAAGGATTGCATTAAATTGCAAAAGAAAGGATTGCATTAAATTGCAAAATAAAAGAAAGGATTGCATTCCGGAGCAGCAGGAAGCCAATGGAGTTTTTTTTTTACAGAAGATTTTGTCATCTGATGCAAGTGACATCTATCTATATACGATCTGTGTATTTATCTATAGATTTCAGGGATGTGTGTATACTATACATATACAGTATAAAGGCAGGTGCTCAAGACCATTTGCTAGCTCTATAAATCGCCATAAGACTTTTTTTGCTCTTTTCTGTAGAAAATCACGCAGATTCAACCAAAATGCCTCCAAATTCTTGGGAGCTCTCCATTTTGGGAGGCATTATTTTTTCCCCAGATCAACCAGGCTATAGGGTGTGTTTTTTTGGGGGGGTATCGCTTCTCTCTCTCCCCTTTCCCCCCCCGCCTATTCTTTGGTCGGGTCTCTTTGGGGCGGATCTCCTGATAAGGCGGAAAACAGGGCCAGCTCGGGCCGTACCACTTCAGACGACGGGGGGGAACAAACACCTTGTTTTTAACCAGTTCGCTTAAGAAAGACCCTTTTTGCAAATAGAAAGGCAGCACGCCAAACGGGGGGAGTCTAGACTTCTTTTCTCCTTGCAGGGTGTTCTTCGGAAAGCCTTTTAAGGCCCGAAAGTGATCCCCGTCTCACTAATGGTACGTCCCGAGAGTCTATCTCAAACGTGGGGCTAGACCATTTTGCCGCCTTAATAAGGGGGGGAGAGAAGAGGTTAAAAAACTAGGGCCTAACCCCGGTGTTGAATAAGTTGCAACCGGCGGAGGATCGTTCCCTTTGCTTGGAAAGAACCCGGGAGTCGTGTGAACGCGGCTTCTTTTGCCTGGTGCAAGGAGAAAAGAGGCATTCGGGAGAACCCAGCGAGTCTCCGGGCTTTTGGCGTGTTGGAAAGAGGCCGGTGCGTGGAAAAAAAAAAACACGGGAGGGAGGC